CCCCCCGGGCAATGTGGGATTTAAGCATAGTTTCGGAGTTTCTGATGCATTGCTCACTTCGTTTAATACAAGAATGGCCGAGCATCAGGAAGTGGCATTCCGCCCACTACTTCCTGACAAAAGTTCGGCGTGCTATCGGCGTCCAACCCGTTGGACTAAAATGTGTTGACTGTGGGGATCGACTGGGTTCCAGTTCGGCCGGTGGTCCTCGGGCCAATGTTGGATTTGAGGCCACTCGGCGTTTCTGATGCATCTCTCACCCCGTGCCATACTGTGAAGGCCAGAGGGGCCCGCATCAGATAGTGGCATTCCACCCACGTGCTTCCTGAAACAAAGCTTGTGATCGCCCCCCGAGGGCCATTCGAAACTTTGCCATGCCATGACACATGGCTGTTTCGCTCAGGACTCCCCCGCAAACACTTTACTTTTGATTTTCATGCCGCCTGAGAGTGGCGATTTCGCTTGGGACGTCCGCGCAAAAGATGCGCTCAGAGTACCGACCACCACTTCCTAATGCAGGGGGTGGTCGTTTCTCTCCGGTGTGCATCCCCCCTCTTCCCCTTGCTCCCCATGCTCGTTCTCCCCCTCCCCCTCTGCTGCGGACCCTTCATCCGCGGATGAGAAAGGGGTGTGCAACTGTGGAGGGGTGGGAGGGGGGAGGGGAAGGGGAGGAAAAGGCGAGGAGAAGGAGAGGAAAAGGAGAGGAGGGGAGTGGGGGCGGAATTGCGTCACCGACATCCTTCCTTGGCCCCGCCAGGAGATAATTGATGGGCTCGTCAACACGACCAACAAGGCCCATGGCCAACTCGGGAAGGAAGCGAGGAGGATGCATGTACCGGGAGGGAGGGAAGATGGGATGGGAGGAAGGATTGGAACGGGAGGGCGTATTTTGGAGGGAGTTCGGGTGGAGGGTGAGGGAGGAAGGATGGGAAAGGGAGGGAGGGAGGGAGGGAGAGGATGAATGGAGAGAGGGAGGAGACACGAATGGAGGAGGGATGGAGCGAGGGCGGATTTTGGAGGGAGTTCCGGTGGAGGGTGAGGGTGGAGGACGGGAAAGGGAGGGAGAGAGGGAGGGAGAGGCTGAATGGAGGGAGGGAAGAGAGACGGACGGAGGAGGGATGAAGCGAGGGAGAGGACAATTCCAGGATGGGACAGGCCCATCGGAGGTGGTGTATTGTAAAAAGTCTAAGCAGGATGGAGGCAGAGGCAAGGGGATTGCAAGGAGAAGGAGGAGGAGGAGGACGTTGATGATGATGATGATGATGATGATGATGATGATGATGATGATGATGATGATGATGATGATGATGATGATGATGATGATGATGATGATGATGATGATGATGATGATGATGATGATGATGATGATGATGATGATGATGATGATGATGATGATGATGATGATGATGATGATGATGATGATGACGCCGACGACGATGACGATGATGATGATGATGATGATGATGATGATGATGATGATGATGATGATGATGATGATGATGATGATGATGGGAAGGAGAAGGAGGAGGAGGAGGAGGAGGAGGCAGATCGAGCTCGGTTCAATGGCCACCGCCGCGAAAGGAGGGCGCCACGAGTGAACAGTTGTGTGTTCCGCAGCCCCAGGGGGAACCGCCCCAAGCCTGAGGCTTCCCCGAACCCGCGAAACCATGCGGAGGAGCGCGAAGCACGATGGCGATGATGGTGATGATGACGATGATGACGATGATGACGATGACGATGACGATGATGCTGATGCTGATAATGATGATGACGACGATGATGATGATGATGACAAATACGATGTTGATGATGCTCCTGATGGTGATGATGATGTTCATGATGTGGATTATGATGATGGTGGTGATGCTGATGCTCAGCATGATGATGAAGAAGGCGATGATGATTATGAACATGATGATGTTGATGAGTATGATGATGTTGGTGATGGTGGTGCTGAGGATTATGATGATGCGGCTGATAAAGATGATGGCTCGCGTGGCGGTGGTGACGATAGTGGTGGTTGCGGCGACAGTGATGATGATGTTGATAATGATGCTGATGCTGGTGCAGATGATGATAATAATGCTGATGATGGTGGCGCTGATGATGATGGTGATGATGGTGATTATTGTGATGGTGATGGGGATGGTGATGGTGATGATGCTGCTGCTGATAATGACGATTGTTGTGATGATGCTTACGATGACCCGATGGTGATGAGGAGGTAGAGGGAGGATGAGGAGGAGGAGGAGAAGGAGGAGGAGGAGGAGGAGGACAAGCATGAGGAGGAGGAGGAGGAGGAGGGGCGAGGAGGAGGAGGAGGACCAGTGGAAACCCAAGAGTCATCAACGATGTTGGAATTGACCCTCCCTCCAAGCTCCCTCTCCATAGGCCCCTACAACGGTTCAGTTCCATTGCGGGAACTGCCTCGTTGGAAGAAAGCAGTTTGAAGATCCTGAAGCGTGTCAAAACATTTTCCCGGGATTTCAACGCCACGTATCAACCTGACTGCTGCGTCTTGACTGTCCAGAATCGTACCAGAACGTCTTGTTTGGGACTTCAACACAGCGAATCGACATAACTGTTGCGCCCGCGTAATCCTGAATCCTTCCAGAACACCATTTCTGGTACGCTGATCATGGGAATCCGTGAAACTCTTCCAAGTTTTTAGAACGAATGTGCGCGGCGCTAAGGCGAGAGCCACATTTTGAAAAGGAACCGCCCTCAATCCGTGAAGCTCTTGCAAATGTTTAACACGAATGTGCGCTGCGCTAAGGCGAGAGCCACATTTTGAAAACCACCCGCCCCCAATCCGTGAAACGCTTGCAGTTGTTTGAAAGCGAATGTGCGCGGCGCTAAGGCGAGAGCCATATTTTGAAAACCACCCGCCCTCAATCCGTGAATCTCCTGCAAATGTTTAATGCGAATGTGCGCGGCGCTAAAGCGAGAGCCACATTTTGAAAACCACCCTCCCTCAATCCGTGACTATCTTTCAAGTTTTAAAACGACTGCGCGCGGCGCTGAGGCTGGAGCCACTTTTTGAAAACCACCCGCCCTCAATCCGTGAAACCCTTGCAAATGTTAAGAGCGAATGTGCGCGGCGCTGAGGCGAGAGCCACATTTTGAAAACGACCCGCCCTCCATCTTCGAAACTGTTGTCAGTTGTTCAGCTTCAGAGTCGTACATGGTGAGGAAGTCTCAGGCGAAACGCCCGGTCCGCCCTAAAAACTTGCCTCGAGGTGCGACATGGAGGAGTTTTCTAAAGGAGAAGGAATGGAGGAGGAGGAGGAGGAGGAGGAGGAGGGGGAGGAGGAGGAGGAGGAGGAGGAGGAGGAAAAGGTGGAGGAGCAGGAGGTGGAGGAGCAGCAGGAGGAGGAGGAGGAGAGGAGGAGGAAGGGAGGAGGGGAGGAGGAGTTTTGAGGAGGAGGAGGAGGACGAGGAGGAAGAGGAGGAAGAGGAAGAGGAGGAGGATGAGGAGGAGGAGGAGGGGAGGAGGAGTGGTGAGGAGGAGGAGGACGAGGAAGAGGAGGAAGAGGAATAGCAGGAGGAGGAGGAGGAGGTGGAGGCGCAGGAAGAAGAGGAGGAGGAGGAGGAGGAGGAACAGGATGAGGAGGAGGAGGAGCAGGAGGATTCGGAGGCGCAGGAGAAAGGAGGGATGAAGGGAAAGGAGGAAGGGAGGAAGAAGGGATGAGAGGGAGGAGGTGGAGGTGGAGGGGGCGGAGGAGGAGCACTCAGACTTTCGACGTGGATCCCTGGAGATCCCGACCCTTTCCCTGGGTCCGGTTTTCATCCTGAGTCATTTTCTGATGGAGCTGGGGGCGGGCGAGGGCCCCTGGAAGGCGAAAACAGTGAATTTCTCCAACGGTAGGACCCTACGTGAGAAAATGTTTAAGATGCCCGGGGATCTCCTCCTGCCCCCTCCCATCTCCCACCTACTCCTGCCTCCTCCTTCTCCTCCTGCCTGCTTCTCCTCCTGCATCAACCCCTGCCTCCTCCTGCTCTTCTTGCCTCATCCACCTCCTCCTCCTCCTCTTCCTTTTTCTCCTCCTCCTTTTCCCTCTCCCTCTCCCTCTCCCACCCCCTCCTCCTCCTCCTCCTCCTCCTCCTCCTCCTCCTCCTCCTCCTCCTCCTCCTTCTTCCCTCTCCCTCCTCCTCCTCCTCTTCCTCTCCCTCCTCCGCCTCCTCCTCGTCTCCATCTTCCTCCCCCTCCTCCTCTTCCTCCTCCTCCTGCCTCCTCCTTAGGCTTTCAGCCTCCTCCTGGATCCTTCTGGGCCTCCCGGGAGCTCCTGGGGCCTCCTAGGGCAGTCCTCCTCCTCCTCCTTCTCATCGTCCTGTTTCCCCTCTGCCTCCTCCTCCTCCTCCTCCTTTTCCTTCTCTTTCTCGTCCTGCATCCTTCTCCTCTTCCTCCTCCTCGTCCTCCTTTTCCTCCTCCTCCTCCTCCTCCTCCTCCCTTCTCCTCTTCCTCCTCCTCCTCCCCCTCCTCCTCCTCCGCTTCCTCCTCCTCCTCCTGCTCCTCCTCCTTCTCCTCCTCCTCCCCCTCCTCCTCGTGCGGAACACGACCGAAAGGAATCGCACGACGTGCGTCCCAGCGGCTTCGCGCCGGAGGACGACCCAGAGGAAACGCGCGCTGGAGAACGACCCGGAGAAAACACGTGAGGTGCGGGCCCCATCGGGAAGGGGCTCCCGCCGAGCTGTCCTCGCGATTCACTCACAGACGGGGGGCTCCCGCCTTATACTTCCTCCACATTCAGGCCCCAGGAGCCCAAAAGTGACGACGGCTACAGAAGGCCGATGACCCGCCTCGGATTCGAACATGAAGTGCGGCCCCTTAAGGATGGGGCCCCCGTCTGAGACTTCCTCGCAATGCACTCACAGACGAGGCTCCCGCCTGATGCTTCCTCCATATTCAGGCCTCAGGAGCCCCAAAGTGTTAATTGTTATGGGAGGCTGATGGTCCGCTTCGGATTCAAACATGAAGCGCGGGCCTCTTAGGAATGGGGCTCCCGCTTGAGACTTCCTCGCAATCCACTCACGCAGGAGGCTCCCGCCTGATACTTCGTCCATATTCAGGCCTCAGGAGCAAAAAATGACGACGCTTTCATGAGGCCGATGGCCCGCCTGGGATTCGAACTTGGAATGCGGGCCCCATAGGGATGGCGCTCCCGCCAGAGACTTCCTCGCAATTCACTCACAAACGACGTTCCCGCCTGACACTGCCTCCGTATTCAGGCGTCAGGAGCCCAAAAGTGACGACAGTCACAAGAGGCCGATAACCCGCCTCGGATTCGAGCATGAAGTGTGGGCCCCATCGGGAAGGGGCTCCCGCCTGAGACTTCCTCGCAATTCGCTCACAGACGATGCTCCCGCCTCATATTTCCTCCATATTCAGGCCTCAGGAGCCCAAAAGTGACGACGGTTACAGGAGGCCGATGGCCCGCTTCGGATTCGAACATGAAGCGCGGACTCCCGCCTGAGACTTCCTCGCAAATCACTCACAGACGAGGTTTCCGCCTGAGATCCTCCGATGATCAAGATGATGGTGATGGGTGATCGTGACGATGGTGATGGTGACGACTGTGGCGGGTGATGGGTGATTCTGGTGACGATGGTGATGGGTGATAGTGATGGTGTTCACTCACAGACGAGGCTTTCGCCTGAGATCTAAAGCTGAATGTGTGGGTGTGTGAGGGAATGTGTACGATCATGACGATAGTGACGGTGGTGTTGTGAAAACTAAGATGATGAATGATGAGTAGTAGTTGTGAGTGTGTGAGTGAACCACTCTTGGTAAGTGCGTGAGAAAGAAGGGGGTGTTTTTTTCCATCCTGTTCCTGCACGGGGTGTCCAGGGGAACATATAACCCCACGTTGGACGTTGGAAAAACATCCACTTTTTCCAAGTCATGAATTGTGCCTCCAGCGGCCGATGAGGACGATTCGGGCGAACATTTTCGACGAGATGCGGTTGCTGCCGAGAAAAACTCCAAACCGACGACAACGTCAAAAACCCAGGGGGGATTGATGATGATGATGAGGAGGAGGAGGCAGAGGAGGACCAGTGTAGACCCAAGACCCTTCAACCAGATTGCAATAAACATTCCCTCGCAGTTCCCTCTTCACCAGCACCTACAAGGATCCATTGCTACTGGTTTGGAAAACAACAGTTTCAAAATCTTAAACTCTGCCAGAACACCGTTCCTGGGACGCCAACGCCGCGAATCATCGTTATTGGTGCGTCTTGACGATCCGGAATCGTGCCATAACACCATTCCTGGAATTTCACAATTGCGAATCAACGTAAGGGTTGCGCCCTGACCGTCCGACATCGGTCCAAAACACCGTTTCTGGTACGATAACCATGACAATCCTTTAATTGCTATGAGTGTTACAACGAATGCGCGCGGCGCTAAGGCGAGAACCAAAAGGAACCACTTTCCATCCGCGAAGCTCTTGCAAGTGTTTAGGACGACTGTGTGTGGCGTTGAGGCGAGAGCCACATTTTGAAAATGGACCGCTCTCCATCCGCGATGCTCTTGCAAGTTTTGAAAACGGATGCGCGCGGCGCGAAGGCTGGAACCACATTTTGAAAGCGGCCCGCCCTCCATGCGTGAAGCTCTTCCAATTTTCAACGACGAATGTGCTCGGCACCGATGTGAGAGCGACATTTTGAAAGCAGTCCGCCTCTCATCCCGGACACCCTTGCAAATCCTCAGCTTAAGGATCATGAGTGGTGAAGAAGTATGAGGCGGAACGCCCGGCCCGCTCTGGAGGCATGCTTCGGGTTGCGACAGGGAGGAGTTATTTAAAAGGACAAGGGATGGAGAAGGAGAAGGAGGAGGAGGAGCAGGAGCAGGAGCAGTCAGCGTTCAGTATATGGTGCGGGACCCAAGCGATGAGAGGAAGAGCGGTCTCCAACAGGCCGTGTTGGAGCGCATCGGGGCCTTGGAACTTGCTGGCGAGCGCGCTGTGACGGACGCGCGGGGCCAGACTAGGGGCCTCATGTGGCTCACCGAGGCGGAGTGCGAAAGCAGGACTGGGCGACGAGGAGGGGAGTAGTAGTAGTAGTAGTAGTAGTAGTAGTAGTAGTAGTAGTAGTAGTAGTAGTAGTAGTAGTAGTAGTAGTAGTAGTAGTAGTAGTAGTAGTAGTAGTAGTAGTAGTAGTAGTAGTAGTAGTAGTAGTAGTAGTAGTAGTAGTAGTAGTAGTAGTAGTAGTAGTAGTAGTAGTAGTAGTAGTAGTAGTAGTAGTAGTAGTAGTAGTAGTAGTAGTAGTAGTAGTAGTAGTAGTAGTAGTAGTAGTAGTAGTAGTAGTAGTAGTAGTAGTAGTAGTAGTAGTAGTAGTAGTAGTAGTAGTAGTAGTAGTAGTAGTAGTAGTAGTAGTTGTTAGTTAGTTAGTAGTGGTAGTAGTAGTAGTTTAGTAGTAGTAGTAGTAGTAGTAGTAGTAGTAGAGTAGTAGTAGTAGTAGTAGTAGTAGTAGTAGTAGTAGTAGTAGTAGTAGAGTGTG